GGGTTTTATAGTTTTACATTTTACATTTAGATCTATGATCTATTTTTAGTTAATTTTTGTGACAGTTATAAGGTCTTTGTCTAGATTTATTTCTTTGCATGTGGATGTCTGGTTGTTCAAGAACCGTTTGTTGAAAATACTGTCTTTTCTCCATTACATTGATTTTGCTTTGTCGAAGACCAGTTGACTATATTTATGTGGATCTGTTTTGGGGCTGTATTCTACTCGGTTGGTCTGTCTGTTGTTTTACCAATACCGCACTGTCTTGATTACTGTAGCTTTGTAGTAAGTCAGATAGTGTTAGTCCTTGTTTTGCAATATTGTGTTTACTATTCTGGGTCTTTTGCCTCTCCATATAAATTGTAGAATTAGTCTTTTGATAGCCACAAAATAACTTGTGAGATTTTGATTGGGGTTACATTGTCTCCATAGATCAAGTTGGGAAGAACTGACATTTTTGGCAATATCAAGTCTTTCTATCCATGAACATGGAATATCTTTCCATTTATTTAGTTCTTGAATTTTGTCAGAGTTTGGTAGTCACCTATATATAGATCTTGAACATATTTTATTAGTTTCATAACTAAGCATTGTTGAGGGTGTTAATGTAAGTGGTGCTATGTTTTAATTTCAAATTCCACTTGTTTATTGCTGGAATATAAGAAAGTGATTGACTTTTGTATGTTAACTTTGAATCCCGCAACCTTAATGTACTTGATTACTAGTTCCAGGAGTATTTTGTCTCCTGTGAACATAGACAGTTTTTATTTCTTCCTTCCTAATCAGTAAACTTTTTATTGCCTTTTCTATTCTTACTACATTAGCATGGACTTCCAGTATGTTGTCAAAAAAAAAGTGAGAGGAGATATCCTTGCCTTGTTTCTGATCTTAGCAGAAAGGCTTCTAGGTTTTGGTGGTTGTTTTTTTTTTTTTCTTGTTTTGTTTTTTACGATTTTAAATATGACATTAATTGTGGGGTTTTTGTAGATTGTTCTTCGTCATGTGACAAAAGTTGCCCTCTATTTCTAGTGGGATGTGCCTTTTTATTGGTTAGTAGTATTTATTGCTTGTTGTATGTGTGTATGCCACAATTTGTTTATTCATCTGTTGAGGGATCTGGATAACAGTTTTCGGCTGTTACAAATAAAGCTGCTGTGAACATCTGTGTGCAATTCTTTATAGAAGATATGCCTTCTTTTCTAATGTATAAAGGCATAGGAGTGATATGGCTGGGTCATATGATGCTATTTGTTTAGCTTTAACACATTGAGTATCACACAAGAAAAAAAATTTTTTGCCTTGAGCCACGGTGTTTTATTATAAAGACAGAGTAAAAACTTTGAAAACAAAATGACCCTTTCTAATTTAATGAAAAATTTGTTATTTTTTATGGTTTTCTGTTCATAAGTTTTATGCAACTTGAAAAATAATTGAAGGTAAAGACATCTGTGAGTTACACATTGATTAGCTCCCACTTATGAGAGAGAATATATGATATTTGACTTTCTGAGTTATTTAAGAGAATGGTCTCCAGGTCCATCCATGTTGCTGTAAAAGACATGGTTTTATTCTTTTTTATGACTGAATAGTATTCCATTGTGTGTTCATGTGTGTGTGTATCACATTTTTTTAATCTGGTCATCCACTAATGGATGCTTAGGTTGATTCCATATGTTTGCTATTGTGAACGGTACTGCAATAAACATACAAATGCAGATGTCTTTTTGATATAATGATTTCTTGTACTTTGGGTAAATACCCAGTAGTGGGATTGCTGGATTCAATGGTAGTTCTATTTATAGTTCTTTCTTAAATCTCCGTAATGTTTTCCATAGAGTTTGTACTAATTTACATTCTCATCAACAGTATAGTTTCCTTTTCTTTACAACCTTGCCAATATCAGTTAGTTTTTGACTTTTTAGTGATACCTATTCTGACTGGTGTAAGATGATATCTCATTGTAGTTTTAATTTGCAATAGTCTGGTTATTAGTGATACTAAACATTTTTTCATATGCTTGTTGGCCATTTGTATGTCTTTTGAAAAATGTCTATTTGTGCCCTTTGTCCACTTCTTAATAGGGTTTTGTTATTAATTCTTGGTTGTTTGAGCTTCTTGTAAATTCTGAATACCGGTTCACTGTGAAATGCAAAGTCTGCAAATATTTTCACCCATTCTGCAGGTTGTCTGTTCACCCTGTTGATTATTTCTTTTGTTGTACAGAAGCTTTTTAGTTTAATTAAGTCCCATTTGTCTATTTTTGTTTTTGTTGCCTGTGCTTTTGAGGTCTTTGTCATGAATTCTTTGCTTAGACCAATGCCTAGAAGAGTTCTCTGTAGATTTTATTATAATATTTTCATAGTTTTGGATCTTACATTTAAGTCTTTAATCTATCTTCTGCAGATTTTTGTCTATGGTGAGAGATAAGGGTCTATTTCATTCTTCTGCATATTGCTATCCAATTTTCCCAGCACCATTTATTGAAAAAGGTGTCTTTTCCCCATTGTATGTTTTTGTTGACATTATCAAATAGCAATTGACTGTAAGTATGTGGCTTTATTTCTGGGTTCTCTGTTTTGTTCCATTGATCTATGTGTCTGTTTTTATGCTAGCACCATGCCATTTTGGCTTCCATGGCTTAGTAGTATAGTATAATTTAAGGTAAGGTAATATGATGCCTCTAGCTTTGTTTGTTTTTTTTGTTTGTTTGTTTTTTTTGCTTTGGATGGCTTTGGCTATTCAGGTGTTTTAAATATTAATGTTTACAAATACTAATTAAACTTTTACTGCAATAGATTTGTAAAGCAATCACCTATTATAACATGCTGATTATATAGCTTATGTACATTTTGCATGTGTTTTATAAACCACCACATTATTGGTTCAAATAGCCTTTTACTTGGCCTTCTTGGATTTTTTTCAGGTAATAGATTTTTCAAATAATAATTATTTCTGTTTTGTTCTAATGTTTATCTTTTCTTATTTCTTTTTCTTATTGCAGTGGATTGAATTTCCAGTTTCAGTTGAACAATGTTAAAGATAGTGTACCACCATCTTACCTTGATCTTTTCTTTAACAGTTATGCCCCTTTTTCTGTTTAGTGTGATCATGGCCACTGATTTGAGAAAAATCTACTTTATTATTAAGATTCCTTCTCTCAGTTGTTACAGATTATAAAAAAAAAAGGAGTGAATTTTAAATTTTATTGAATACCTTTTCAGCATTGAAAGAGAAAGTTGTGTGTGAGCTTTCAATGTAATGAATAGTCTAAAGATATCCTTACATTCTTGGAATAGTCCTACTTGGTTGTAGTATACTTTTCTTAAATATGGAGCTGGGTATTATTTTATAATGTTAACTTTTTATTAATATTCATGAGACAACTTTTTCATTTGTGTTTTTTTTTCTGGGGTAGTACTAGGCTTGTGATAACTTGTTAAAGTACATTTGAATACTTTCACATTTTATATGTTTTAGATTAATTTTAAAACCTTAGTAATTATATGTATTTGATAGCATGATAAAACATGATAGTAAATTTTGGGGGCCTGATAACGTCTTTGAAGCAGTGGTTAAAAAAAGCAAAAGTTTTTCTTTTTCTCTCACAGCTGTTAACTATAGTCACGGTGTGTTTTTTTTAGTCCCTTTCTGTAATATCCTTAGTCATCTTTTAAATAATAAAGTTTGTCTTCTAATTTACTTTTCTTTTTTTGTGTTTTCCTCCAAAAAGTGTTTATGAGAATAATATGGTTCTAAGTTTATTGTTAAATATGTTTAAACATGTTTAAAGATGTTTAATTGCATTTTTCTATATCCTGTGACATTTCTCTACATTTTTTATTTGGTTAAAAATTTTAATTAGACACAGCTAAGTTGTAAAGATATTGTTTATTGTTTATACAATTTTCATTTTAGCATGCTTATTTTGGTTTACTTCTTTGTTTGAATATTTGTTTTTTTTTTATTTTATCAGGCCTCATATGTGATTGGTAAACTTTCCTAGGACTTGTTATTTATGTTCTAGTCTATTTGTCAATGAGCAGTATCTTACTTGACTATAGTATTCACAAATATTAGTTTTATTTCCCTCAAAAAAATGTAACGTTTGCGCCATTGCTTTTAGGAATGAAATAAGTATTATATGGAAGAAATTTGATGTCATTTCATTTTAACTTTTACTTGTAAATTTTTTTTTCTTTACTCTCAAATGAAAAAAAATGATTTCATATTTATATAAGTATTTCTTCATTAATATTTTCTGGCAATTAGTCTATCTTATTTTTTAATTAGAGAGTTTTGATATCGGGACTCTTCAAAAGAAGATACTTAGGTATTATATTTGATTTGAAAGATCCTGCATACATAAGTTATCTATCACTGTGTAAAAAATTATCCCCAAACTTAGTTGTTTTAAAATGATATACATTTATTATCTCTCTTTTTCTGTGGGCCAGGCATGAATTAGCTGAGTCTTCTGTATCAGAGTCTCACAAGGCTGCAAAGTGTCAGCCAGGGCTGGGAACTCAGGTGTTAGCTTGACTGGGAAAGGATCTTGTTTCTAAGCTAATTCTCGGTCTAAATCCAGTGCTTTTTCCATTGTGTAGTACATATCGGTGGATACCTGATTAAGTATAGTCACTGTGAATTTTCAGTCCCTTTCTATTATATCCTCTGTCATCTCTTAGATGGTCAAATTTGTCCTCTAATTTACTTTTTTGTTTTTGTTTTCTCCTCTAAAAAGTGTTCATGAAAATAATACTGTATACATGTGTACATGTAATACATATTGGCAGGTATTTGATTTATTTGACCCTGACTTTTAGAATCTCACATCCAGTCCTGAGAATATCTAGCCTTTTCACCTCTTTTTATTATTCAGTCATAAATGTACACACGCACACACATAACCCTGCAGAAGTGGGGGATGAAGGGAGGAAGAAAGATTATATGTTAGCATAATTTTTTCCATGTTAAAAACTACTGTATTTTCCCCCACATAGGTGCCTTAGCTGGACCAATTATTGTGGAGCCACATGTCACAGCAGTATGGGGAAAGAATGTTTCATTGAAGTGTTTAATTGAAGTAAATGAAACCATAACACAAATTTCATGGGAGAAGATACATGGTAAAAGTTCACAGACTGTTGCAGTTCATCATCCTCAATATGGATTCTCTGTTCAGGGAGAATATCAAGGAAGAGTCTTGTTTAAAAACTATTCACTTAATGATGCAACAATTACTCTACATAACATAGGATTCTCTGATTCTGGAAAATACATATGCAAAGCTGTTACATTCCCACTTGGAAATGCCCAGTCCTCTACAACCGTAACTGTGTTAGGTAAGTATGCTTGACTTTCCATTTTGGTGATGATGGTAAGGATTATAATAAAAGTATTTTCAAGAATTTAAAATGGTTTAAATTTTATTTAAATTTAGATTTAAAGTAAAAGAATTCAAATAGGATTTTTTCAAATTCTGTTTTATAATTCTGATTCTAGGTTCTCTTAATTTAAATAAAATCTTATCTCTGTATACCTACCTGTCTGTATAATGCTACATTGTTTTAGCTATTCTACTTCATGAAAGATTTTGCTGAGTTTTAATTATAATTATACAGTAAGTGCTTGAGTTTCTGTGACATATTTATTTTCATTACTTCACCTTGCATTTTAAAGCTTTAATTAAATCATCATCTTTAGTTGAGATTGTCCATTTTTTTTTTAAGAAAATGAGTTTGTCTTCTTGGAGCCATTGACACCTCCTGTTTTAATTTTTATATCAAATTTTATTCCATCTATTTTAGATTTGCTTAGCTATTTTAATTTTGTGCTATTGTTAAAAATAATGATATTCCATCATTCTTATCTGATAACTCTAAAAGTTTATGGTAAAATGTTGAGTAAACTTATTAAGACAGCCACTTACAGTGAAATGTAAACCAATTTGGAAATGCTGATAAGTACTTTTGGAGTAATATAACAAGGATTAAGGAATAATAGTAACCTGTGGCTTACATGGAGGTACAACGCTCTTTCTCCTTCAGAAACGCTCATTGCCCAGTTGCCAGGGGTATGGTTTGCTGATAGCAGGAAGCTGTCAGCTCCTTTAAGATCACTTTTTTTTTTAGATTGTATTTTTTATTGATATACAATATTTTATATATTTGAGTTCAAGTTATGTTCTTTTTGTGGGTGCCCTCAGGACAATGATTGAGCAAGGCATTGGTAGTTGAGGGCAAGTTTCTCTTGGGACCAGCAATTGAACAAGATAGTGGTATGAAGACCTGGACATTTTCACCCAATGTGAGACTCCTTTAATGGGAATTTTTGCTCTGTATCTTTCTCTTGGCCTGACAAACACTTTGTTAGGTCTGCTGATTGCCCTCCCCACTCCATCCTTCTTCTTACCTTTTCTCCCAGGTATTACTCCCTAATAAACCTTTTATATTCCTTGCTTGTGTCTGCTTTGCAGAGACTTAAACAAGCTTACAGCCCCTAATATTTAATAATATAATATTAAAGTCTCTGGCGTACAGAAAAGCAATTGTGTCCAAATTTGTATATTTTTTCATGTTGAGAGACACTATTTAAAAATAAAATTAAACATTCAAGGATTTAATATGTTTAAAACACTGCCTTAATAGCTGTGGGGATATATAATTTACATTGAAGCGATTGATACTTTTGAGAATTTTTCTGATTAGGAGGCAAGGCAAAAATATTTGAAAAATGAAGTGCAAAACATCAACAAAAAATCACATAAAGTTCTGTATCAAGAAAATAATATTTTCCATGTAAAAGAGAGAATTCATGGGGATTAAAGTCACTTGTTATTTTGCTTTAAATTATAGTAGTTTTCCTCTAAATTAATACAAGTGCTTAAAATTCAAGACTGCTTGTGTTACCAGGCTTGTGATTTTGCCCATGCCTACTTCTTTCACTTCATCTATTTAATCCCTTGCTGCTTCTCTTTCAACAAAGCAAATCTTAAAGTCATAAAAACTATTCGCAGTTCTGTTAATCTGTGTTTTTATGTGTGTTTCTCCTTCTGCCTGGATTGCTGCCTTTTTCCTCCTGTCTCTTTCTTCCTACATTCTTCCTGCATAACTATTATTCAACAAATCACATGTAGAAGCCATTCTTGACCCCGTCCCCCCAATCTCATGCTTTGTTTGCTTTTTATCATCATGTATTGAGCATATCTTTATTGTAGCAATTACCATACTATGTATTATATGTTTTCTATACTATAAATATGTGGTGAACAGCAGTTGTGGGCACTTTAAAATTTAATTTTATATCCCCAAAGCCAGTAAGAGTTTCTGATATATAGAGGTCATAGAATAATTGTTATTTGAGTAGGATATAGGAATGGATTGATGAACTTGGTAGTCAAGAAATGTTTTATAGAAGAAATAGTTGAGCCAGTCCTTGAATGGTGGGTCAGTTTTGGGTTGGCAAAAATAAAATAATGGGGGAATGTTATTCTAAGATTAAAAGTAAATGAGCCAAGGCAGAGAGGTAGAAAACAACATATAGTTGAGCCATGAATGACATGGGTTCAAGCTGTGCAGTTCCACTTATGCACAGATTTTTTTCAACCAAAAGCAGATGAAAAATACAGTATTCCTGGGGAGTGAAACCTACATATACAAGAGGGCTGACTTCTTATATGTGGGTTCTGCAGGTTTGTGTGTGGGACTTGAGTATGCATAGATTTGAATATACTCAGGGGCAATGAAGCCAATCCTTTCCATTTCCTGATGGACAACTGTACTTAAGACAGTTTTTCTTCAATTTTTTGAAATTTTGGGCTTGAATTCTTTGTTGTGGTGAGCCGCCTGATCCAATGTTGACTGTTTAGCAGTATCCATGTCCTCTGCCCACTAATTGCCAATAGCATCCTCAGTTGTGAAACTCGGAATCTCTTCAGATATTGCTAAGTATCCCCTTGGAGTGGTGGGAGGCAGGGGGAAATCCCTCCCTGTTGAGAACCCTGCTTTAGGTGGAACACTGCATAAGTAATTTATTGACTGTTCAAAATATTTATATAAAATACAAGAATTAAAGTCCAGAAAGGTAGGGTAGGACCACAGTAAAGTAACGTGAATGCTAGGATGGGTAATTTGAGCTTTATATCATTGGCAGTGCTAGCTTAGTAGACAATGGATGGGCTTCTTTTCGCCTCCCTTCTACTCTCAGACCCCTTGCTGTTTAAAATGTGGTTCATAGAACAGTAGCATTGGCATCACTTAGGACCTTGTTAGCAATACAAAATTTCAGACCCCTCTTAGATTTATTGAATGGAAAATTTAAAAGGCAGTGTTTTAAATGAAATTATTGAGTTACTCATTGGATCAAGAAAAACATTTGTCATCTCCTACATGTATGCTCAGAGAAACTTTTTTTCCCTTAACTTTTTAATAGAAGTTTTCATAATCCTAACTTATTTTTTAAAAATATTTGCTTTAATTTTTTTGTGGTATAAAGCAAAGCATTATGTATTAAAACTGCTTTTTTTATTTTAGATTAGTAATATTTTTAATCTCATAGGGAAATTATGATCTAGTTCACAGAAATTTTTGTATATATTAATTTGAAGGGATCTCATTTTTCCTATAAAGTAATTTATATATGTATCAAGGACAGCCATTTTTATAATGATTATATAAAATCTTGGCCTCTTGTTTTTCCTAGCTTATGATCTTCTCTTATTCCAAGAATGCAATTGATGATGGCATTACCTAAAAAGTGTATGTAGATTGTATATGCAGTTGTCCCTAAGCTTATGAAATATGTCTAGATGTGGTTTGGAAGGATGTAAATATATTGTTGCTTGAATATAACTAATTTTTTTTAAAAAATTTAAACAGTTGAACCCACTGTGAGCCTGATAAAAGGGCCAGATTCTTTAATTGATGGAGGAAATGAAACAGTAGCAGCCATTTGTATCGCAGCCACTGGAAAACCAGTTGCACATATTGACTGGGAAGGTGATCTTGGTGAAATGGAATCCACTACAACTTCTTTTCCAAATGAAACAGCAACAATTGTGAGCCAATACAAGCTGTTTCCAACCAGATTTGCTAGAGGAAGGCGAATTACTTGTGTTGTGAAACATCCAGCCTTGGAAAAGGACATCCGATATTCTTTCGTATTAGACATACAGTGTAAGTGAATGGTAACATTTGCATTTTCAGTATTAGTCATGCATTTTGTTTTATTTTCTTCCATTTCTTTATCAAACCTTTTAGTTTGAATATTTAGTATTCGGATATTCCTAAAGCTTTTCCTTGTTGACATTGTTTTTTCTTTTCTCTTTATTTTTTGTTTATATTCTCCTGGAAATTTCATTTAACCAGAAATTTTTTATCAGTTTTTTTAAAGATGAACATGTGACTTTAAAGTTGCAGTCCAACTTGAAATTACGTAACCTTGTCCTTTTAAGTCTTAAAAGCAAGCTGGACTTAAGGGAGTTGTGGATTTGTACCTCAAAATGTACAATGCTTAGTGATAAACAGCTTCTTCATTATAATTAATTGAACTGTTTTTCAGTTTCATTGATACTACCCATGCTGCTTTTAGCAAGAATCTTTTACTTCTCTAGATTCATATTAATTAGTTTGAAAATCTGTATTTTTCCATACTGTTTCTAATCTTAATCTTATTGATCATGTTGGAAGATTCTCATGTAGTTAAAACCATATTTTAAAGACATCATGGGATAATAACCATTGCAGGTAAGGTTCAAAGCTGAGCCATGTTGTACTTGTGAAGGGTTAATTTCCTGTGTGTGTGTTTATATATTCATGTCTATTTACTTTTCCTTTTTTGATAAAGTTTCTCAGTTTTTGGCATATTCTTTGTGATTTGTATACCATTTTAAAATTTTAAGGAAGAGACAAGATGATGGATAGCAAGGATAATAAAAATTAGGCAGATTAGAGATAAAATTAGAAAAAGTATTTAGATTCTACTCTCATTTTCATCTATGCACAGATTACAAATTTAGATAAGTTTTTCAAGGAGTTATTCTTTCTTTTTTGTTCTTGATATGACATGTTCTTGATATGACATGCATGGAAGTTTGAAGTACACATATTTATTATATGGTTGGTTTTTAAAGCTAATTCCAGAAATCTTTTCAACATTTGTAGGGTTAAATATGAGAAGTTGTAGTTACATAATTGTTGTTACCATTGTAGTCTTAAATGCTAATGCCATCTTTTCTTCTCACTTCTCTGGAGAATCCAATTAAAAAGGTTTTTGTTGTTGTTGTTTTTTCCTTTTCCTACCTCACTTTCACAGACCTAACTTTTTCCTTTGTCTTATAAAATTCCCAGTTGTAAGTACCATTAATGTATTTCTCATATCTATATATTTTTCCTTCCCTGTCCCTAATAAAGATTGACATTTTCTTCAATTTGTATTACTTATAATTATTTGTTGTTTGAGTGCAATCCTAGATATATAAAAGTGTTTCTTCTAGTTTAAGTCTTTATAATTATGGTTTTGATCTATTGACTTGCTCCTAAAAGAGTAGTCATGACTTAGAGTAGTTATGTGACTTTTTCTTTTTTTAAATTGGGGACATATAAAACATGTGAATGGCAGTTTAAAGAGATAAGGTCTTATATCCCAAATTTTTACCTCAAAATTTGGAGGTGATCTTTGGGGATACTTCAATGGCTACCTCCTCCTCTCCCTTTTAAAAAAGAGATTAAACTTACAGATACTAGACTGTAGCAACATTTTTCAAAGGCATACATTTCTTTTTTTTTTTAATTACCGAAGTAATTGTACCTTAGTAAAAGTTAACTTTTTTACAACTTTTTTCAGGAAACTTTGCTTTGCAGGAGATCAGGCTTTTCTCGCAGAGTTAAAGACTAAACTGGTCTCTCTATTAACCTCTCTCATCTGGCCATGTGCTGCTTACCTGGTTTTCTGTGTAGCACACACAGAAAGATGGAGTCTCTACACCATGCATAACTAGCACTTCCTTAGGGAAGCCTTTCCTCCCCTATCCTCAATCTAAATTAAACCTTTCTTATATTCTCTCTCACCATCTTATTCTTTTTCTTCTTTTCTCTCATAAGTGGTTTTAGTTAAATACTTTCAAATGTTGTCTTCCCTATGACTATTAACATTAGAATGTAAATTTTATGAATACAGAGTCTGTATGTATACCAAACACTTAAAACAGTACCTAGCATTTATCAGGAGCTAAACAAATGATGGTTTAATAATAGGTATTGGATTTTATAGCTTATATATGTATATTGCTACTAGATATGGATAATTTGTTCATTCAGCTAGTTATATTGCACAAAAGACCTTTGCATACATTGAGTGGATAAAAGTTTATGTTTTATTACAGTTGAGGCCTTAGATATAGATAATTTACTTTAGTTATAAGTCTGTAGTCTTAGAAAGTCTGTGTCACATCTCTATATGCCCATAGAATATTAATTAACTGTAATATAGGGAATCTTATCTCTGTGATTGACTTGATATCTCTTAGGAAATATTTTCTTTTAGATAAATGTCGCTTTAAAGACCATTTTATGTGGTGACTTGGTCCTGCATGGTGCTTAAATGCCATGTCTCATTAAATTAAGTATTATAATGTATTTGCTTTGTTCCTATATCTCAACATCTCTCATCATAGGACTCATAATTTGTTCTTGGTGATTATAGATTTATGAATATTCTTACATTTAGCACACCTAATAACTTAAACTGTACATACTATAATTGCCTGGTGTTGGGATACTAGCCCATTCATTCATTCATTCATTGTTTCTGTCAGTCAACTAATATTTATTGAGTACTGTTTTCCACATTGATTATATATACTGAGAACAAGGAAAAATGATTCCTGTTCTGAAGCTTAGTCTGTTGTGTTCATGCTTTATCATTGTATATCACATTTATCATTAACAAAAATAAATGTCATGCATTTATTTATTTTATAGATGCTCCTGAAGTTTCAGTAACAGGGTATGATGGAAATTGGTTTGTAGGAAGAAAAGGCGTTAATCTCAAGTGTAATGCTGATGCAAATCCACCACCCTTCAAATCTGTGTGGAGCAGGTAATGTTATATACTTCAAAAGGGAACTAATATAAAAGTGAAAAGTATTCTTACATGCATATCTAAAGTTGTTTATCTATATAATACATGATTATAGTAATAACTGAAAATTTTAATTAAATGAAAGGCTTCTAAGTGTTACCCTGCCCCACCCTTTCCCACCTTCCTCCCTCTCAGTTCTGTTCTTCAGAGGCTACTTTAGCTATTTTAGCAATTTATTCTGATAGTTACCATTAGGTGTCTTAACCTGTTACTTCTAGATTTACCAATTTTTAACACTGTTGATTTCTTCTTAGATGAAGAATTAATTTTATATCTACCCCTTCATCCACAAACACACCCATGTACACATTCTTACCCTTCATAGTCCAAATGGAATTAAGCTACCTCTAGTTAAAATCTATAATCACTGTTTGCCTCCCTATGACAGATAAATATTATTTACAGAAAGCTAAGTAGTATACCAAAATTGTTTTCTCTTTTCTCTATTTATTTGCTTTCCCTGTGGCCAATAGCCTGTTTTTACATGTGTAGTTTACTATTTGCATGATTCTCTTTATCTCTGAAATTTCAAACTGCTTTATTAGGGATTTCATTTCATATTTGTCTGTTATTTAGGGCCCATTTCAATCTTAAGACTTGTATCTGTCAACTTTTAATAATTTTGTTAGTTTTAGGTCATTTCCCTTCATTTTTTTTTCTGTTCACTCTTACTGGACTTCCTATTTATAATATCTTTTCTTTTATATTTTCCAAATGGAGGATTTTTTGATTTTATTACTGACTTAATGATTTGAAAAAATTTTTTTATATTTTCAATTTACAGCAGCATCTTCTCATTCTTAATTTTCATAGCACCCTTTTCTTATGTAATGAGTATAATGCCTTTCTCGTTTATTCTCGGGGATACTAGAGTTATTTCCTCCCCAGAGAGTTTTTTTTTTTTTTTTTTCTTCCTACATATTGTCTCTTTTTTTCTCCAAGTTCTTTTGGTTTTCTTTTTGGTTTGATCTTTCTTTCATTTTGCAGATAATTTCTTAATTTTCTTGGTCGTCTAGTCATTTCACAGTAAGGCATTATTAAAGTGCTTGGTGGACACTCTTTCTCTGTAGTGGGGATTACTCATTAGTAGGTTCCACTTAGAGTGATCAGGTAGAGAGATGGTGATTTTCCTGGTGAAGCTTCAGATGTCACTAGTAGAAGAGTGGAAATATTTTCTTCATGGCCATTCAGTTTATTTCTAGAATTAACCTTCATTCTTTTGTATGAGAGATAAATGTGTGGTATAGAGTTGGGAGGAATCTATTGTGTTCTAACTAATCTCATTTCTAATCCTCTGGCTCCTGACTTTCTGCAGTACAGTGAGTCAAACTTCAGACTTTTCTTGGGTTCTTTGGACCACATAAGCTGCTTTATCATCCATAGGCTGTCTGTAAGCAACTTTTCACCCTAAAGTAGAGCTTTTCAACTTTGTCATTGTGCACATTTTGGGATAGGTGATTCCTGGTGGTGAGTAGTCCTTTGACTTGTAGGATGTTTAGAAACATACCTGGCCTCAGCCCTCTGGAGCCAGTAGCACACACGCAATCTCCCAGTTGTGACAGTGTAAAATGTCTCCAGACATGCCAGATGTCCCAGGGGCAAAATCATTCCTGGTTGAGAAACATTGGCTTAAAGCATATATCGTTTTCTCCATCTGTTTTCTGTCTTCTAAAAGTTTGTTGAAACATCTTGTGTGTTCAGCCTCCTGTTCTCTTTCTCCTCATAGGTTTTTAAAAACTTTTTAATTCCTATAATCTATTTTTGATGGGATTTTATTAGAGTAAGAAAAACAGTATATTTGGTCAATCTGTTATCTTTAAGCAAAGATACAGTTTTGAAAGTACAGAAAACCTTTTTTCATTTACATTTTCTTAAAAGTGGGAAGCAGCCATTAGTTAAGATGTCTGTTTGATAGGGTATTTCTGAAAGACTTGCAATTCTGGATTCTCATCCCAGTATCTAAACTTCTGAATGTCTTTTTTGAGTAAGTCATTTAAGCTCTCTAATCCTTAATTTCCTCATCAATAGCAGTAATTCATAGAGTTTTTCTGAGAATACAGGCAATGAATATAAGTCACGGAATGCAGGTACAGGAGCATGAAAGATGCTTTTGTTGTGTGTTTAATATGCTATTTAGATTTTTCTAACTGCAGATTATTTGAATAAACAACTTTAAAAGATTGTAAGTCATTTTCAAATTTCTCAATTAAAGAGATTAGAATTTGGGGGTCAAATTACAAAGGTAATTGTTAAGACAGGTGTAGTTGATATTCATTGTTAACCTTCACCTTTTGAAAGCTGATGCTTGCGAAAATTTTCTTTTCAAAATCCTCTTAAGAAGGTTGAGTGTTTTTGTTTTTTAAATTATGTAAAAATGCTATCTTTGTCCTTCATTGCTAAGTTAAAGTATTAACAACTCCAGAAGATTGTACTGATTATTTTTCCACTTATACCCATGAGATTGCAAAATGAAATCATTGTACCTATTCTCCAGTATTGATTTGCTTCTTTCCACCTTTATTATTATTATTATTCTTATTCCCTTTGTAATGAGTTGTTGATATTCCATACTTGCATCATTGAAGGCAGAGATCAAATCTTACTTCCACATCTCAGCAATATCAACAGAGCAGAATATGGAAAATAGTAAGCTCTTGTTAATTGGATGCATGAATGAGTTAATGAACTTCCTGAAAATCCTTTTAGCCTAAACAGTAATATTTGAACACCCGGGTTTACTTGATTTTTTATCCTCTTATATTAAAAAATAAAATAACTTCTGTGAGTTTTAAGAACAGTTTCAAGATAAATACTTATTGATGTTTTCTTTAGTACCCTCAGGTTAGAAAAGTGATTTTTAACAGTGTACTTAGTTCCATTGCAATGAATGGTTTTAGAGTTCTTACCGTGGGACTTAAATATGGTTTAGAGTAATGTGTACACTAGGTATTGGACCTCTTAGCCAACTTAATATAGACATTGTTTTTAAAAATGAGTTGTTATTGATATAAAATGGTATCTTGGTTTTTATTGTGATACATTCCCACTTTATAATTGCAATTGTTTTATAAGAAGACCCTTCTTGCTGCTTTAGAAACTCTTTGGAAGGGTATAGTATAGATTAGTATTAGTATTAAATTATGCTCTATAAACATGTTATACAAGGTTCTAGAACATTATTATATGTTTAAGTGGGATACTTTCATTAAGAAAATTGTAGATATATCATGAGTAGATCCATAATTCACTGAGAATTTTAATTTCTTTGATATGGTGGATATGTCTTCAAATAATATTGTTTTTGAGTTTTCTGAATATAATTTTTTAAAGTCATATTTTTTTTCTCCCGTTTCTTCCCAATCTATTATGTTGGCCTAGCTTTACTTATATGGCTTGATGTTTTGAAAGAATATGTGGTCTTAATGGACTTTATGAATTCATCTTCATTAAAATTTTTTACTTTTTGCATACTTACGTAGTAAATTTTATCTAAAAGATATTTTTTAAACTAACATCTCAAAAGTGTAATGTCTTTTAATTAGCTGTCAATAAATATAGTCTGAAGATATTTAAAATAATTTCATGCTTTTTAAAATTTAGGTTGGATGGACAGTGGCCTGATGGTTTATTGGCTTCAGACAATACTCTTCATTTTGTGCAGCCATTGACTTTCAATTATTCTGGTGTTTATGTCTGTAAAGTGACCAATTCCCTAGGTCAAAGAAGTGATCAAAAGATCATCTATATTTCAGGTAAGTTATTATTAACTTGCAAAATGAGTTATTTAAAATATTCTTATAATAACAATCATAAGATGATCTTGGGGCAGTACTTTACACTTGTAAATACACAGATAACGGTGTGAGGTTTTTCCAAATAATCTATAAGTAACATGGTAATATGGTAAAGTAACCCTATCTGAAATAAATTTATAATGTGGTATTCCTTTACTTAAATAAATGTCAAAATGTCCGTACAAGTTTATGTGCAATTTGATACCTATACACACAGTTTATTTTTCAGTTAAACAGTATTGAATAATTTCTTTAGTAGGAAGTATGCCTTTCTAGATTCTTTTGTTTTTACACCAGGAACAAGCATTGATTTCTTTTCTTTTCTTTTGCTTTGATGGCTACTTTGTACACAATTGTCTGATAAGTAAAATAGGATATTAACTTTAATTACCTGACTTGTTAAATAACATTGTTTGCCACTTAATATGAGACTATTCCTTATTGTGTAACTGAGAGGTGAAGTGGGAATGCTACTAAAATTTTTTTAATGAAATGAAATTTAAATGTTTCTTCTTGTCAGTACTTAAGCCACTAACAGCTTAGATTTTTCACATTCTATTTGTTTCATTATGAATTTTTTTTAACTTGGCTAAGTATAAATTTGGGCATTCATGAAATATATAGAGAACTAAAAGTATATTTTTTACTGGTTGTGACTATAAGTAATAAATATCCATGGAATGCTTATTTATAAAAATTATATAAAATATTTTGAGCATCTCCTTACTGACTGTAATCTTCATGTCTAACAAATGGAAAATTAAGGTGAAAATGAAGAGAACCTTAAGAAATGCAGGTTTGTATGGTAAATATGTAATGAGTACTTAAGGTTTTTATTTCAGTTTAAATCTAAAATTAATAAGAGATTTTAGAGAAGTATTATGCTTGTTTAAATATTATATTCTCAGTCCTTATGTGATCATTCAATATAACAATAGTTGCCTGTATTATTTTCTCATAACACTTACCATAGTGTGTAGTTGTATGCTCATTTATTTGCTTATTATCTATCCTCACTATTAAGCAGTTTGCTTTATTTGTGTTTGCTTTATTCACCACTGTAAACTCAGCCATTAGCTTAGCGCCTGGCATATGATAGAGAGTCAAATTTTTTTTGGTATTAGACTAGCGAGAAGCTGACAGCTCTGGATAGCCCTAGCCCTTTTTGCCAGTGGAAGTGCTTTGGTGGAAATCTGAGTGAGGTTAAATATTAGTATGTTAGTCTCTCTTCCCTTAGAGGATAAGTTACAGGAACTGCATATTTAAAATGTATTTACTTAAGAACTTTTTACTTTTTTGTTTTTTCTGTTGCACAATTTGGTGTGGGATATAACTTGTAAATCTTAGGCTCAATATGTTATAACTAGGTAATCATTTAAATATCAAGGCTCATTTTCAGCGTATTATATATACTGATTATACTGATTATATTTTAAATTTATATCTTCTGACATTGTGGGTCCACTCCCCAGTACTCTTGACTTGTGTGTCCAGATGCCTATTAATGATCATTAACTCTATGTAGAAATCTAATAGGCATTTACAATTTAACATGTTCAAAACTGAAGTATCAATCTACTGCCCCTGTAAACTGAACCTATTCTTCTGCCAGTCTTATTCCTTTCAGTTATGGGTAGTTCCATTCTTAAATTTGCTCAAAGTGAAAACCAAATCTTATGAAATGACTTAGAAGGCGGTATACATGCTCTTGTCCTGGATTATCTCACTGAACTAGTTTCTTATTATATGCCTTGTTCACTAGCTCAGCCACACTGGACGGTTTTTTGAGTACACACACATTCCTACTTCAGAGTCTTTGTATTTATTTTTTCCACTGGCTGGAATGCTCTTCTACTAGGTATCCTCATAGCTGTTTCCCTCACTTCCTGTAAGTCTTTACAAAAATGTCACCTGTTTCAGTGAGGTCTTTCTTCCTTACGACTGTATTTAAAACTGACAACCCTCTCTCTTCACTCCTTTACTACTGTTCAGTCCTCCTTCTCCACCTTGTTTTTCTCTTCAGTATTGCCATGTGACCTACTACGTATTTTATTTATTTGCTTATCTGTTTTTACTCTTATTAGAACATAACTCTGAAGCAGTCAGGATTTTTTGTCTGCTTTAATCACTGCTATATTCCCACCATCTGCAATGATGTTTTTAATCTATAATAGGTGTTATTACGCTTTTGTTTCATGATAAATCTGAGAAGAAAACAATCAGGAAATAATTTAAAAGTACAGAATCTGCTTTTAGGTAACTTTATTTTGTTTGATGAGGGAACTGATGTAATACAAGTGATAAACTTTACACATTTTTTAATCACCATCTATTAAGTCTTATAAGAAGGAAATCAAATTTTTAATAAATATGAAAAATCACAATTAATTACTTCTAAGTACTTCAGAAGAAGATAGTGTTATATGTAATCAAGAATTAGACTTTACTTTTATGTCCAGACTCTTTTTCATTGTTATATGTACCCTTTTTTCACTAGGAAAAAAAGTTGACTTCAATATTAAAATTGATATTTTAAAATTTTAGATATGATTTTAATAATATGTATAAAAGAAATGTATCTTATGATTAGAGACTGAGAGTTCTACTCAGAACAGAGTAGAGAGCTTCTAGATAGCTGAACACACAGGGAGGTTCCTGGAAGGTGGCATGCCCCTTCAATCATACCTTGCCCTAGGCATCTCTTTATTGATATCATTTGTTATTTCCTTTATAATAAACCTATACATGTAAGCATGTCTTCCCCAGCACATTAACTGAACCCAAAGAGGAGGTGGGGGGACTACCCTTCAGAATGGAGTTAGCAACTCTAAGGGAAATTGTTCTTGATTTTATTACACATTTTCTGACATTGATAAATATAAGATTTTTGGATTGAAGTCATTGATTCAAGATTTCAATATTCAATTGAATTATACTCTTAGTATAGTAACATTGTAGAGGGATGTGATAGCTCTTTGTCTAATACTGCCTGACTGCTTGAAATTGTGTTTTGTGGTTTGCTTTTGGTGTGTATTTTCCCCCTAACTGGTATCTATTACTTCTTTTTGAAAATAGAAAAGCAGATTTTATATATCAAATAAGTCTCCCCATTCCTAAAACTCTTATTCCTGCCCAAACTTGAATTTGGGGTCATACTGATTTTAGGATCCATGCATAGCGTTAAACTTTAAGAATTTGCACTTAGCAATCCTTAAATTTCAAAATGCATGATTTTGTTTATTTAAATAACCCTATAAAGTCTAAAATAAAAATAAGTCGATCAATTTAAATTTTTTTAACACAGTAATTATTAAGCCAAAATATACCTTATAGCTGCAGAGGCCTTACCTGACTATTTGTTTTCCTTTTTGACAGAACTCATTAGTTATAAAAAGAAACTTAAGAAGTTCTTCATTTGGGTGAGGAGAACTTAGAGTCATTATATCCTCATTTATCACACATTCATTCAGCAAAGTATATGAAAACTAATGTTTGAAAAAATAAGGAATGCTATTGGGAAGGATTTTAAATCATGATAAATAAGTAGCTATTGATGATTAAAAAATAGACCTGTTTCCTTACAGGAATTGTGACTCTCTTTCTAAATTAGAAAACAAATGTTTTATATGCATTGTCATATGCCTATTGCTTAAAATACAAAATAATAAAGTATTAACAATAGTCTCTCTTTCATGGAATGGCAGTTCTAGTAAAATTATGCTATTTTTAACACTGATTAAGGATGGGGATGGTGGGTTGAAACATTCTAGATCCACTAACCAAATTAAATAGCATAAGATTTTTAAATTTCTGGTTAGATTTTTCTGAAAGCTATATTTTGTTAATTTGAGGGAAATGAGTAATAAACATCTATTTGTGTACATATGAAGAACTTTGCAAGTAGATATAAGAAATGTCAGGGTTTTTTCTTTTTCTTTTTTTGTTTTTATTTTGAGGGTACTTGGTAAAAACATTCACTTGTATCTTATACTTGGTAAAAGTTCGGATGTATTCACTGTTCTGAGAACTAGCATGTCAAGCAAGAGCTACCAAAACCTTTAAAAACCTTACAGGCACGAAAGCGTGTAAATTATAAATTTACTTAAATGATTTGTACTTTTATTTAAATGTGTTGATACCATTTTATTGTAATACTTTTTTCTTTGGGAATCATTACAAAGATGACCTTCAATACTTAAAACTTGACTTTCCCCTTACTCCTGCTCTCTCAGAAAATACATGAATTGTCTTACAAATGATTTAATTTTTACTCTATTTCTTTAGTAGCTAATTCTGTGCAGTTGAATTACATGAAGATTTACTACTTTTACGCTCTACACACGATCCTTCTATTCCACAATTGTTTTTTTGAGATTGAATTTGTTCAGTTAGTGAATAGGTTCTCATAAATTAAAACTTCCTTAATTTACTTACATTTACTATGATAGCTAATATTCACTTCAAAGTAGTTGACAGGATTACCTGTTGTGTTACTTTGAACTCACAGGAAATTAGTTATACTATACTTGTTAAACTTTATACTGTACTTGCTAAATTTTTACCATATTCTATATGTATGGCATTCCGTGATGAAACCTGTTTCAGTAAGTATTTTTCTTTAGCTTGTAATATTAGAATAACTTACCCCATGTAGATTTAGTATTTTTCTAACAATCATTTTTTAAAAGCTCTATCAGTACCACTCATTTAAAAATTAATTATAGGAGGTTACCATTTGGGTCATTTTTTTTCATATATGAAGAAATTCAAGATCTTTAAACTTAAAGTTTCTTCAAATTCTAGAACTTTGTGTAACATGACCTACAAATACTACTTAATTGATAATTAACTAATCTTTAATTTTTACTATTTATATTTAGTTGCTTTTTAATATTAATGGCTACTCTGTAATCTAATGTCAATACACAGGTTCATTTGCATCTAATATTTAAATATTA